CATATAACACACACTACCATCTACCCCATATAACACACTACCATCTACCCCATATAACACACTACCATCTACCCCATATAACACACTATCATCTACCCCATATAACACATACTACCATCTACCCCATATAACACACTATCATCTACCCCATATAACACACTATCATCTACCCCATATAACACACTATCATCTACCCCATATAACATACTACCATCTACCCCATATAACACACTATCATCTACCCCATATAACACATACTACCATCTACCCCATATAACACACTATCATCTACCCCATATAACACACTATCATCTACCCCATATAACACACTACCATCTACCCCATATAACACACTACCATCTACCCCATATAACACACTATCATCTACCCCATATAACACATACTACCATCTACCCCTGTTAACACACTATCATCTACCCCATATAACACACTATCATCTACCCCATATAACATACTACCATCTACCCCATATAACACACTACCATCTACCCCATATAACACACTATCATCTACCCCATATAACACATACTACCATCTACCCCATATAACACACACTACCATCTACCCCATATAACACACTATCATCTACCCCATATAACACATACTACCATCTACCCCTATGACACACACTACCATCTACCCCATATAACACACTATCATCTACCCCATATAACACACTATCATCTACCCCATATAACACACTATCATCTACCCCATATAACACACTACCATCTACCCCATATAACACACTACCATCTACCCCATATAACACACTATCATCTACCCCATATAACACACTATCATCTACCCCATATAACACATACTACCATCTACCCCATATAACACACTATCATCTACCCCATATAACACACTATCATCTACCCCATATAACAAACTATCATCTACCCCATATAACATACTACCATCTACCCCATATAACACACTACCATCTACCCCATATAACACACTATCATCTACCCCATATAACACATACTACCATCTACCCCATATAACACACTATCATCTACCCCATATAACACACTATCATCTACCCCATATAACATACTACCATCTACCCCATATAACACACTACCATCTACCCCATATAACACACTATCATCTACCCCATATAACACACTACCATCTACCCAATATAACACACTATCATCTACCCCATATAACACACACTACCATCTACCCCATATAACACATACTACCATCTACCCCATATAACACACTACCATCTACCCCATATAACACACTACCATCTACCCATATAACACACACTACCATCTACCTCAGATGACACACACTACCATCTACACCATATAACACACTACCATCTACCCCATATAACACACTACCATCTACCCAATATAACACACTATCATCTACCCCATATAACACACTATCATCTACCCCATATAACACACTACCATCTACCCCATATAACACACTACCATCTACCCCATATAACACACTATCATCTACCCCATATAACACACTATCATCTACCCCATATAACACATACTACCATCTACCCCATATAACACACTATCATCTACCCCATATAACACACTATCATCTACCCCATATAACACACTATCATCTACCCCATATAACATACTACCATCTACCCCATATAACACACTACCATCTACCCCATATAACACACTATCATCTACCCCATATAACACATACTACCATCTACCCCATATAACACACTATCATCTACCCCATATAACACACTATCATCTACCCCATATAACATACTACCATCTACCCCATATAACACACTACCATCTACCCCATATAACACACTATCATCTACCCCATATAACACACTACCATCTACCCAATATAACACACTATCATCTACCCCATATAACACACACTACCATCTACCCCATATAACACATACTACCATCTACCCCATATAACACACTACCATCTACCCCATATAACACACTACCATCTACCCATATAACACACACTACCATCTAAACCATATGACACACACTACCATCTACCCCTATAACACACACTACCATCTACCCCATATAACACACGGTACCATCTACGCCATATAACAAACAATACCATCTACCCCATATAACACACTATCATCTACCCCATATAACAAACACTACCATCTACCCCATATAACACACTAGCATCTACCCCTATGACACACACTACCATCTACCCCATATAACACACTACCATCTACCCCTATGACACACACTACCTTCTACCCCATATAACACACTATCATCTACCACATATAACAAACACTACCATCTACCCCATATAACAAACACTACAATCTACCCCATATGACACACACTACCATCTATCCCATATAACACACACTTCCATCTACCCCATATAACAAACACTACAATCTACCCCATATAACACACTACCATCTACCCCTATGACACACACTACCATCTACCCCATATAACAAACACTACAATCTACCCCATATAACACACACTACCCTATAACCCATATAACAAACACTACCATCTACCCCATATAACACACTACCATCTACCCCATATGACACACACTACCATCTACCCAATATATAACACACTACCATCTACCCCATATAACACACACTACCATCTACCCCATATAACACACACTACCATCTACCCCTATAACACACGGTACCATCTACCCCTATAACACACTACCCTCTATACTATATGACACACACTACCATCTACCCCATATAGCACACTACCATCTACCCCATATAACACACTACCATCTACCCCATATAACACACTATCATCTACCCCATATAACACACACTATCATCTACCCCTTATAACACACTACCATCTACCCCATACAACACACTACCATCTACCCCATATAACACACTATCATCTACCCCATATAACACACACTAACATCTACCCCATATAACACACCACCATCTACCCCATATAACAAACACTACCATCTACCCCATATAACACACTACCATCTACCCCATATAACACACTACCATCTACCCCATATAACACACTACCATCTACCCCATATAACACACTATTATCTACCCCATATAACACACACTAACATCTACCCCATATAACAACACTAACATCTACCCCATATAACAACACTACCATCTACCCCATATAACAAACACTACAATCTACCCCTATAACACACACTACCATCTACCCCATATAACACACTACCATCTACCCCATATAACACACACTACCATCTACCCCATATAACACACTACCATCTACCCCATATAACACACACTACCATCTACCCCATATAACAAACACTACCATCTACCCCATATAACAAACACTACAATCTACCCCTATGACACACACTACGGTCTACCCCATATAACACATGGTACCTTCTACCCCATATAACACACTACCATCTACCCCATATGACACACACTATCATCTACCCCATTTAACACACGGTACCATCTACCCCATATAACACACACTACCATCTATCCCATATAACACACTACCATCTACCCCATATAACAAACACTACAATCTACCCCTATGACACACACTACCATCTACCCCATATAACAAACACTACAATCTACCCCATATAACACACACTACCCTATAACCCATATAACAAACACTACCATCTACCCCATATAACACACTACCATCTACCCCATATGACACACACTACCATCTACCCAATATATAACACACTACCATCTACCCCATATAACACACACTACCATCTACCCCATATAACACACACTACCATCTACCCCTATAACACACGGTACCATCTACCCCTATAACACACTACCCTCTATACTATATGACACACACTACCATCTACCCCATATAGCACACTACCATCTACCCCATATAACACACTACCATCTACCCCATATAACACACTATCATCTACCCCATATAACACACACTATCATCTACCCCTTATAACACACTACCATCTACCCCATACAACACACTACCATTTACCCCATATAACACACTATCATCTACCCCATATAACACACACTAACATCTACCCCATATAACACACCACCATCTACCCCATATAACAAACACTACCATCTACCCCATATAACACACTACCATCTACCCCATATAACACACTACCATCTACCCCATATAACACACTACCATCTACCCCATATAACACACTATTATCTACCCCATATAACACACACTAACATTTACCCCATATAACAACACTACCATCTACCCCATATAACAACACTACCATCTACCCCATATAACAAACACTACAATCTACCCCTATAACACACACTACCATCTACCCCATATAACACACTACCATCTACCCCATATAACAAACACTACCATCTACCCCATATAACACACTACCATCTACCCCATATGACACACACTATCATCTACCCAATATATAACACACTACCATCTACCCCATATAACACACACTACCATCTACCCCATATAACACACACTACCATCTACCCCATATAACAAACACTACCATCTACCCCATATAACAAACACTACAATCTACCCCTATGACACACACTACGGTCTACCCCATATAACACATGGTACCTTCTACCCCATATAACACACTACCATCTACCCCATATAACAAACACTACCTTCTACCCCATATAACACACACTACCCTCTAACGCATATAACATACTACCATCTACGCCATATAACACACTTCCATCTAACCCATACGACACATACTACCCTTTACACTATATGACACACACTACCCTCTACCTATTTGATATAATCACACGGACCGCACCTAGACCCCCCCCCCCCCATTTGACACTATGATAAGCTACTAGTTCCACGCAAATCAAATACCCGTTCATTCTAATTTTATATATTATATCTACACTATTTATAATATTGGGAATTCCCTATCTACGTGTCACCTTGTGTTTACCTGGCGTTGGTTACCTAAAGGTCGCCATTTAACATTAAGACGAGAATTGGGCTGTAAGTCTGAACGTTTATATAGCTAAAGTGAAGAATAAATCTAGTTATTAAAAGATAGATTTTACAGCGCTTGACTAGTGTTAGGTAAGAGAAAACGTATTAAATAATAATGTATAAATAGTTACGTTTTATACATTTTTAAAGGTAGTTTAAGTTTCAATGCGATATTTGATTTTATGTTTAAAACATAGTTTTATTATCTGGCTAATTTAAACTTTTATTTTAAGCAGAACCAGCTGAAAGATGCTACTTCCAACGTCAGTTCATGGTGTGGAATTTATTGTTACATTCTTGTTTTTCTGTGGAGGTAATAATTAAGTTTTGATTTACATAAATTACATCGCTATTTTTAGAAATCTAAAAATATCCATACGTTAATTTTTATATATATTTTTATTTTTAAATGCGGGAATTTCCTTTTGAAGTATTAATAGCGTCATCACGTAGTAGGTATATAATAGGGCCTATTTATTTATCAAATGTGTTTAATACGGGTGGTGATTTAAATTGATTTTTCCACGAAAATTCTTGCTATTTATAGTAACATATCGCCACGTGAACACATAACACTGTAACCCGTACCCGTAATCCTACAAATTCATGAACTAGCACAAATACAAGAGCAAGTCCCCATTGTACACGCACACCTAGACGTACGAGCACACGCACACGAACACACACACAAGCACACTCATACACATACGCATAAGCAGAGTTTCTCTTCGCCCCCCTTCCCCTTCACGAACGAAACGGAATTTATATAGAAAACATAAAAACATATACTTTTACCAGTGTCCCCCCCCCCCCCCGGACCCTCCCCCGAAAATAGCAAGTGCCCCCCCCCCCGCCTACACATATGGATACACATCCAGAGCAAGCGATTGTTCGAGAACTGGCTTTTATGATACAATGAACGGTTCCAGTGTTTGACTTTTTAAAAAAAAAGAAAAAACTAAAAAACAACTGAAAACAAATCGCAAACATTACATGGGATCAGTGGCGTAGCTAGGATTTTTGGGCCCCTATGCAAAAAGTGTTAGTGTGCCCCTCAGAGGCGTAGCGAACCTTCCCGGCACCCGGGGACAAACTTTCGATTTGCACCCCCCCCCCCCTCAGACTTTCGATTTGCACCCCCCCCCCTTCCAAACTTTCGAAAAAGGGCCCCTATTTGCCTTGGGCCCCTATGCCTTACTTACGCTAGCTTTACGGTAGCTACGCCACTGCATGGGATATATAATACAGACAGAAACATTTAACATTATTAAATCAAAATGTACTTCAATATATTTTTCTGGGTCTGCACAATTTTAAAAAACAAATCCCCCCCCCCTTCTGCTAGTCGTCTCCTCCTCGGTTGTGCAAGAAAAATGCAACGACCTCAAACCTGTTGTTTGTCCAACCTACGGGATGTGCTGCACAGCCGACCAGTTTTGTTCAGAGAATAGTGGGACATGCGAGAGTTGTTTTCCTGAGGCCTTCACGAAAAGAGAAGAAAGACTCAAGTTCTGTAGTGACCTGGAGAGGAAGAGAACCAACAGCAGCATGCGTCACTACACTTGTAAAGCTGCTTGTGTTACCTTGTTTAATATGACAGAAATAATGAGTTATGTCGGTAAGTACAGTTTTCATTTTCAAATACGTTCAAAGCAGTTTTCAGTCACTGTGATTGGAGTGTTTATATATATATATATATATATATATATATATATATATATATATATATATATATATATATATATATATATATGTAACTGTTATAGTATATGTCGGGTTAGCAGAAATTATTCAATGATTGACACAAGTCCTATCTAATGATGTTCAGGTTTATTTACTTTGTAAAGAAGTTCAAAATATCCTTGTCCTAACTCTGCTGTTGTCTACTATTCTATACACTTCTGCTATCCAACTGTCCGCTATAACTTTCTACTGGTGCCCTGTCAAAACGGCCCTGGACAAATCGGCCCCGTCAAAACGGCCCCGTTAATATGACCCCGTCAAATCGACCCCCGACAAAACGACCCAGTCAAAATAGCCCCGTCAAAAGGACTCTCGACATATTGGCTCCCGACAAATAGGCTCAGGACATACTGGCTCCCGAAAAAGTGGCTCCCGACATATTGGCTCCCGACATAAGGGCTCACAACAAATGGGCTCCCGACAAATGGGCTCATGAAATATTGGCCACCGACAAATGGGCGCCTCTATCGGGAGCCTTTATGACGGGGTCCATATGTCGCTGGCCATTTTGACGGGGTCAATTTGACGGTCCTCTTATGTCGGGGCCGATTTGTCGGGGTCGTTTTGACGGGGCCGTTTTGTCATTGGTCGTTTTGACGCCGCACGCTTTCTACTACCTAACGATCTACTTAGCTGTAACCTCTTAACCACACCCAGTCGCTACTCTACTGACTTCTAAAAATAAAGGCGTGGGTCGCTTCTTAAATTTTAGTAAAATTATTCATTTCATATTATAGCGACCAAAGTTTTCGTTTTAGTTATTTCAATGGTTGTTCATTATTATATTTTTTAAACAATTTATTTCCTCTTTTTTAGTGCATTATTACAGAAAACTTGTTGTCAAAATGTTTTTATTAATTTTGTTTCGTGTTTAGTTGGAACAATTCAGTCATTCTTTAGAAACTGGAGTGGCAATCATGACACTAACATATTAACAAATATTTGATAAATTAACCGAAATGTAATTTTTTTTCTTATATATACAGATAAACCCCCGGAGAAAACTGCCAAAGAATTAATAGCTGGTAAGTTTGCCAAATCAAATTTAAGCTAAAAATGTATTTTAAAACTAATTATCAAGAAAAAATTAAGTACTAAAGTGGGTCAATATACCATGTTAATTTCCAACTAGACAGTTTATAATGCAAATTAAAATAAAATAAAAATGCATACAGTTTTAATACATTGAAGACTTTTTTTTTTATACTTTTTAAAAACCTACATGAAAAAATATGTTTTATTTTGTGTACAGTTAACACATAAACTAAAAAATTATAGTAAATTAAGAAACAATTAACTTTTCGTTATTTTATTAAACATAGATATAAGGATTACTAGTTGTTTTTTTTCGCTCACACAAATTTTAGCATATTTTTAGACTAAAAAAAATAGAATACAAAGGACACACCACTAATGTAATAATCTACTTTACAAATCAGTAGACGCGAATTGTCGTTAATTTTGTTTCATCCGACTTTATATAATTTAACTTTGTTGAAGATCACAACAGCTCCATGCACGAACACTTGGAGGGCAGTGTTGTCAAAAGAATAGGTAAGATTAGATTTTATAAAAATGTTTCAAACCGTGTGTTAACCTGGTGTAATGTATAACATATTTAACCCCAAGCCAATTAATCCCCGACTTGTGCGCTAATTTCTGTTTGCGCTTTTTTTCTGTTTGCGCATTATTCCGTTGCGAATAATTTTGTACGCTTTTTTTCAGATGCGCTTTTTTTCGTTTCTCATCTTTCTGGGAATCTCATATATATATATATATATATATATATATATATATATATATATATATATATATATATATATATATATATATATATATATATATATATATATATATATATATATATATGTATATATATATATATATATATATGTATATATATATATATATATGTATATATATATATATATATATATATATATATATATATATATATATATATATATATACACATTTATGAGTCCTGTGCATCTAACTATAGTAAAAAATTTCTGAAAACAACCAATGCTTAGCCAGAAGCAAAATATAATGTTATATATACTAAGCCATGAGTAAAATATAATACTATATATGTTTTTTTAATTTTTTTTTCTTATAAGATGATAATCGACGTAGGGTTTCTAGCCTAGAGAATGAGGTCAGCAATCTAAAACTTGCAGGTATTCGTTTCACTTTCAATTATATTTTTATTTTTGTATATAGTTTTATAATGTAGTTTACTGTGTGCGCAAATGTGTATTTCGATATTTTTTTGCGGGTTCACTTTCCTCTCTGCACATTTTTCTGCGTATGAGCTTTTCTCTTTGCGCATGTTTCTGTGTGCGCAATTTTTAATTGTGTTTTTTCTATTTGCGCAATTTCTGAGTTCACATTTTTCTGTTCGCGCATTTTTCCGTCTGCGCAATTTTCTGGTTGCGCAATTTCTATGTTCCCCAATTTTTCACTTTTCGCATTTTTCTTTGTGCGCATTTTTCTGTTTGCGCATTTTTCTACGAGCGCAATTTTCTGGTTGCTCAATTATCTGGTTGCGCATTTTTCTTTTTGCGCATGATCCAGTGTGCGCTAATTTCTGTTTGTGCTTTTTCCGTTGCGCTTTTTGTTTCCATTGCGCACCTTTCTGAGAACAAATGAATCATGTGTATTTATCTATCGTAAAATTCTGATGAAAACAGCCAATGTTTAACCTGCAGCAAAATATAATACTATATAATATACTTAGCTATGAGCAAAATATAATTCTCTATATGTTTTTTTTTTAAATTTTATTTCATAAGATGATAATCAACGTAGTGTTACTAGCCTAGAGGATGAGGTTAGCAGTCTAAAACTTGCAGGTATTCTTTTCATTTTTAATATTTTTTAATTTTAATTTTTTTATATTAGGCCTATAGTAACTATTATAACACATTTGGCACACATCTCTATTTTTATTATATTTTAGTGATACTGACCTACTTGTATTGACCTTCTTGTCGCATTCAATTAACGATTCAATATAATACAGGCTTATGTAATTAAAGAAAATCAGGCACCGTACGATTTCGTGTTTTTTTAACCCTAGTATATAAAGAGATAGTTCGGTCAGCCGTTTTTTAGTAAGGTACCCAAAATGCTCAGTGGACGTAAGACAGGTACCCTACACATCAATGCTTGCTGACCAATGACAATTACTCATCAGATGTTGGTGGACTTTGGGTCACCTTACTTGCTGTATAAAGTCGGGATTAGGATTAGAACCGAGGTTATTTTTAATCTAGAACAATATGATAGCTTCAGTCTTCCAGCGTTTCACAAACCTTCAATCTTTCTTTAATGGTTGTGACCAGTGGCGTAGCCAGGATCGTCTCAAGGGGGGGGGGGGGGGGGGGGGGGGGGGTCCAATTTTTACCCGGGGACAAACTTTCGATTTGCACCCCCTCATACTTTATATATATATATATATATATATATATATATATATATATATATATATATATATATATATATATATATATATATATATATATATATATATATATATATATATATATATATATATATATATATATATATATATATATATATATATATATATATATATATATATATATATACCCAGGGTCTATGGGGGGGGGGGGGGGTTATGACCCCTCCCCCTAACCCCCCCCCCCCTGCCTACGCCACTGGTTGTGACTGTATTGGAAATAGTTTATTGCAATTACTCTAAGAATGTCTTTCTAAATACGGTAAAAGATTAGTCAGAAAACCAAAAAAATAAACATGACATTCGAACAGTTGTATACAATGTGTACATGTATAATTTACATATTTTTCCTTAAATTAGCATGTTTTAACAAACCATGTTTTTTTCTTAAAAATACGTTTATCTATTTTATTTCTGTTTGTTAACTTAAATAAAGTAATACGTTAACTATAATATTAATTACAGTGTATGTACACTTGCTTTGTCTTATATTTACTCAATCACAATTTTAAGTGTCTTTCATTTTTAGCGAAATTTATAACTCATGCAGACAATTAATGCAGTTTTTATAAAATATAGATCTTTATTATTTTCCTATTCAGCTATCCTTATACTGGTACTTACGTTAATAGCAATAGTAATTGGAGTGGCCTTTTACGGATTTTGGAGACGCAGGGTGAGCAAGATGAAGAAACAAACAGATGTGAGAGGTATGCCAGTTCTATGAAAACGGCTATTCATTTAAAAGTAAATTTTCAAATTTATGTCTTAAGTAGGCCTATGTGAAAAAAAGAAATTAAGGCTAGGTATAGTTGAAGTATTAGTTTAATAGTGACACTTGAATTAAGATATAATGTGTAAAAATGTGGTCTGTCTTGGTTTATACAAGTGTGTATAACATAGACTAACTTAATATTGACTTACGGTTGCTCTTGTGGGTTCTTCTTTTAAAGGACAGACGACAAAACGTTGATTCATTTCACATTTTTTTACAATAGTTAAATCCACAAAGAATACAGTTTGTTTCAGTAATCATCACCCACCGTTTGATATAACACTTATAATCAAACTGCATGAATACACAAGATAAGAATCACAGGAATAATATAGGATACATCTTAAATCTTAAGCTTTAACAGTCAAAACACATAGCTTCCCCTTGCGTTCATCTAGGTGGCGTCTTCTCCCAGGTTATATACACTCGTAATCACGCACTACAGTCTGTGAGCGATACTCAAAAAGCATGAATAAAAATACGAAGAATGATCATTTAGATATTGAATTACGAATCAGTGGCGTAGCTAGAAGGAAGGGGTAGGGTAGGGTATCCGCCAAAAGGGACAGAGAAATTAATTTGAAAGCTCATTTTAAGATGAAGTATTGAATTTATACACAAAGTTACGAAAATAAACGACTACAAGGCTCCACACACTGATTTAACAACTGTTTGGCACCAAAATATAAAATGTTACAGGATAGCAACTGATAAGAAGCGCCACAAACCTTTCCAATTGAGGGAGAGGGCGCTTTTTCACGGACAGGAATAACTATATATATAAATGGGAGGGAGGGGGCGAAAAATTGATAGTCAGCCCCGGGCTCAGAGATAGGTTGCTACGCCTCTGTAATGATGGTCAGGTATTCAAATGCCACTCGCGATACACCCAAAACATAATATACAAAAGTACAGTCTGTTACACATAGCAATATTTCATGGCATAGTTTTAAACTAAATTAGACAATACTTTATGAAAATTGAAGATTTTAAAAAATGTATATAGCTGAGAAAAACGTGAGAAGTAATCAGAAAATGTTTTTTGTTTGGAGTTATTAGATACCGGTTAGTTTTAGTAATTGTACTAGTTTCTCGATAACAGTGGCGTAGCGAGGTCGGGTGTCACCCTGTGCGGCACTTAATGGTGTCACCCCCCCCCCAGAGGCGTAGCGACCCTTCCCGGGGACAAACTTTCAAATTTTCGATTTGCACCCCCCTCTCAAACTTTCGATTTGCACCCCCACCCTCTCAAGTTTTCGATTTACACCCTCCCCCCTCAAACTTTCGATTTGCACCCCATCCTCAAGTTTTTCTTTATATATTTTGCTATTTTTTGCCTTGGTGTCACCCCCTTAAATGGTGTCACCGGTGCGGTCCGCACCCCCCGCCCCCCCCCCCCCCCCTCGCTACGCCTCTGTTCGATAATAATATCCGGTTCATTAGAAAATTTAGAACTACATAATGATAGCAAACACATAGAGGTTTCATTTAACCTCCAATCACATTATATACGAAATTAAAATGTAAGATATCTTTTTACAATATTTTTTTACTCTTTACAGTAGCGCTATAAGTACAGTAAACATTTTAAATTATGTATTGTATGTATTTACGTACCTTGACTAAAGTAATACCTTAAAGAAAATAGTATTGTTTATAGCATATTAAGAAATCCAATATGTAAATGTGAATATGTAAATGTGAAAGAAAATTTTTCCGCTTTTAGCTATGTAAAATTCTGTTAATTTCTCAAACATATTAGTCCAGTGTATATTAGTACAATATAATACCTAACGTTCGCGAATAACACCAAACATTAGTATGTTGATAAATGTTTTCAGTTATATGTTAGTATGTTAGTATGCATAATAATTATCAATTATCTTTGACAGAAAGAAAAAAGTTGCTAGACGATGACGTAGAGAAAAAATTAAACAAAGCATTTGATTGAGCGAAGACACGAGTTTATTCAGCAGAACGTGGTTAACTCGTGAAACAAAATTTAATGAAGATGTACAGCGGCTTACTACACAACTTGATAGCCAAGAAAAACAATTACAAGACACAAAAGAAATATTTACGAAAAACAATGATGAATCAAAAGCAGAATTGGGGCGTATAAATGCTTTACTTCAAGAACTAGAATCCACAATTAATGGTAAATATTGCATATAGTAGACATATAATTCAAAATGTTAATTGAGTTTACAACCTTGTTTGAGTTGAATAACAATATTCATTCTATTAGAATGTCAGGCTCGCGTACCTAAATACTTAGAAAAATCAACCTTGCTTACTATTCTTTGCGAGTTAAAGAGGTAATTTATCAAAATATTTTTTATGGGTCTCTTTCTCGTATAATAAAGCCTGTAGAAATAAAAAGTACTAAATGCAGTTAACGAAGACATAAATTTCTACATTTACAAATTTTACGCAATAATTGTTTTCACTAGCATGATTTTACTGTTTGGTCATTGTAAAGTTTAATAAAATTTGTTTAGCGATCGTTTAAATTAAACAACTAAATATGCAGATGTTACTTTATTTTACAGCTTGTTTAAATGCTGTTATTGATTTTAAAAAATGTTTGTGACTTTAAAATATTTTCAAAGTTAATTTTACAAACGCATGAAATCTAGTTAATAATTATCACAATAGGTATGAAACGGTAGTTATATACACATATATAATAAAACTGATGAATTTTCGCAGATGCTTAATAAGGGTATATGCAAAATTAATGTACAATATCTTTGACAGAAAAAGAAAAGCAGCTGAATGTTGACGTAGAGAAAAAGCTGGTCGAAGCGTTTAATCTGGAAAACGAAGACAGTTTATTTTACAAACAATGGTTACCTTTACAAGAAAAATTAAATAGAGCAATAGATGCTTGTAATACACGAGTTGAAAACCAAGAAAATCTATTGCAAAATACAGAAGAAAAAATTAAAACGAAAACTGAAGAATTAAAAACAGAAGTGGAGAGGAGGAGTGATATTTCACAACAGAGTCTGCAATCCCAATTTGATGGTACTTATTATTATTTTAAAGTAGATCGTTGCAATTTAATACAAATATACTTTTATTTAAGTTTAATGTAATTTAAAAGAATACGTTTTTACCCTTAATACATTTGTAAGCGACATGTATAAAGTATGTGAAATGTTTTCAATCTTAGTTTTAGTTTTGCATTGAATAATGAGTCTTTTGTATTTTAATTATTTTAAACGCATTTGATATTTTCAACAACTAAATTTGCTAATTAAACATAGTTAATTACTTAACACATTTTAATAATCTTAAGCGATTTTACTTACAAAAATCAATTATCATTATTAACATTGAAAACACGAAAAATTATAAAATGTAACGAGGTAAAGTTTGATATGCACTTTTTGAATTTAAGAGCTTCAAAAGTCTGTGACTAAAGAATGTGCAAAGTTGACAGATAACGACCTAAGAACAAAGATAGATGACATTCACACACAAATGAAGTGTAAGTAAACGTAACAATATATATATATATATATATATATATATATATATATATATATATATATATATATATATATATAATTATATATATATATATATATATATATATATATATATAAATGACTAGGTTTTTTTTTCATCTCAAAAAAGGCTATAATAAATTACTACTTCTCAGGAGGAAATATTTTTAATTCAACGGTTTGCTTTATGGTTAAAGAATAAATTAAAAGTTAGTATAAATCGTATTAATTAATACTTTAAATTAATTGCATGTTATTATTGTTCAGATTTTATGAGGAGGATTGATGACCAGGAGAAGTTATTCCTCGCAGAAAACAATCAGAGAGAAATAGGAAAGTCTGTGTCATCACAGCGTAAGTCAGACTGTTCTCACTATCTTTACAAAAAACATACATCTATATATATATATATATATATATATATATATATATATATATATATATATATATATATATATATATATATATATATATATATATATATATATATATATATATATATATATATATATATATATATATATATATATATATATATATATATATATATATATATATATATATATATATATATATATATATATATATATATATATATATATATATATATATATATATATATATATATATATATATATATATATATATATATATATATAATATATATATATATATATATATATATATATATATATATATATATATATATATATATATATATATATATATATATATATATATATATATATATATATATATATATACAGAGAGAGAAAGAGAGGGAGGAAGAGAGAGAGAGAGAGACGGGGGGGGGGGGGGAATGCTGGATAGGCCGTTTACGGGGAGGGGCAAAAATCCGACCAAAACAAAAATAATTTTTTTTATTCAAAAATATTTTAAGCAACTTAATTTTAACAATATATATATATATAGGCATTTATATATATATATATATATATATATATATATATATATATATATATATATATATATATATATATATATATATATATATATATATATACTTATTAAGGAATGCTGTTGCGAATGTATAATTGATTTCGTTTATTGTTCTTAAAATTCTTAAAATATAGATACAAAACACCAAAGATCTTCCAGTCCAATTGTTGAAGTAGATAGCATGTCATTAAGAGGAGGTAGCTACGACGTAGAAGTTTCCAATGGCAAATGACCATTTTACGTTATCCAGATAAAAAAATTGAGATTAATTGTTAAACTTGTTGTGTGGTTTTCTGACAATGTTATTTAATTAATAACATCTTATAAATACAGTTTTAAATATCATAGTGTGTCTGCGACAACTTTTATATTTAACAACTTTCATAATTTATTTTTCGCAAAATGCCAATTTGTGCCTTGTATATTTGAAAAAAAATTATGTCTGTAAGTCTCCTATAAATAGAAAAAAAAAGCCTCATGTTCGAACCCACGGCAGATAAGGCTCGATAGCAGGGAACAACAACTCCTCTAGGGGAGACAACTCCAAAATCAAACAACTGCTGCTTTGTAGTTCATTCTTGGTTGGACAAAGGCTATTGAAGTAAATCCAAAAAGAAAAGCAGGCTGGCGTCGGTGTCAACGGCCTATATGGCACATAACAAATTGACAAGTATACTTAATTTTGTTGGAGGGAATCTCTTCCATCATTACACATTTAGAAGAATAAAAAAAAATTGTACATATTTTTAAAAATTTATTATTTGCCAAAATACTTAAACAAATCTAATTCTATAATGTTTTTAGCACATGAATTAAATTATTTCATTAAATTCTATGATACATTTAGTACAAACAGAAAACAATTGACACATGTGAATTAATATTAACGAATATAGAGATTCTTTGTGCATCATTTTTAAATTGTATAATTAAGTATTTGCAGTAGATAAAAAAGCATAAATTCTAATGTTTCATATTTTCAGTGTTTGTCATTTTTGCATGTGATTGTTTAGCTACGTTGTTGATTTTAAAAGAATTTAGCAAGATAGTGTACAGGTATATATATATATATATATATATATATATATATATATATATATATATATATATATATATGCCCTTTATGCATAACTAAAACTTTTATCCGTTCGCCTTGAAACTTCGAAGTTGATGAACATACACCAGGGAGGTTTTCTGCGGGGAAAAAAATCAATTCCTGCCCCCACTAGTTTACAATGAGAGATGAGCGTCTCATACTAAAAATAAATCGGGAGTGATCTCCCCTAAACTTTCTCGAATATTCATAATAATATATAACATTACGGGGGATGGCAACTCGAGATAAAGACTTGATTTTTAATTACTTAAACTGTTTAAAATATAATAAAATCTCGTAGTAAAAAGAATTGCGCACCAAGCGAACGCAAAGCAGAATGTGTATAATAGTACGGAATATTATTCGTACTTTATAAACTTACGTGCGTTTCTTGAGATAAAAGGAAATTACTCAAAATGCTATAGATCCTGAGTGAGTTTTTTCTTTTTCGTGTCTACGAGGTATAGAGAAAGTCTAGTAATCGTGAAAAAAAACGCGATTTTTGCAAATCTCGACGTTTTACAACTACCTGAGTCGGAAAAACACAGTTATGCAATCTTGTCTATATGTCTCTGTGTGTGTGTGTGTGTGTGTATGTGTGTGTGTGTGTGTGTGTGTGTGTGTGTGTGTAACATATACCATGGGTACCAGTCAGGGGGGATAATTTACAATTTATGTATTATTGATATTATTTTGTATGCTCTCCTGTGAGCAATGTTCCCCGTGTTCGCATGTCATGTCACATCTTGTCCGCGGCATTCAAAACACAGGCTGCGGATGACAAGGACCGTTCAGTTGATTAACGTGGTTATTTAGACCAAATGATGGACTATATGTCGTGTATGGATTTACTAACACGGATTTGACGTTAATGAATTAGCTGTATATTGATTTGCCGTTTACGGATTTGCCGTATATGCATTAAAGCCAGGATCTATCATGAAAAGGTTCGTTGATCGTTTGTGTGTTATCTCGCAGGGTCAGCGCTAAAAAAACATGACATCTCAATGGATGACATCACACCACATCTCTACTGAGGTAGTGTTACATATGGCCTATGTATCGTAAGAAATTACAGAAGGTCTCTGCCCCTTCTCCTCTGGAGTGGTATCTCTGATTAGCATGAAGGAGCTTGGAGAAGCAATGAAGCTCCTCAAATTAAAGCAAGCTCCAGGCCCTGACAAAATCTTAAATGATACGCTCTTGCACCTAGGCCCCATTGCTAAAAAAAAAACTTCCCTAATATTTTATCCAAGCTGGAAATCTGGGAAAATCACAAATATTTGGAAAAAAGCAATCATGATACCTGTTCTCAAGACAGGAAAACCCAGGAAAAAAGTCGATAGCTATCGCCCAATAAGTTTAACAAGCTGCGTCTGTAAACTGATTGAAAGGGTGGTAAACAACAAACTGACCTGGTTTCTCGAATCGAACAATCTACTTGCATACGGACAGGCTGGGTTCAGGAAGTGCAGATCTACTGAAGACCAAATCACGTACATTTCCCTTGGCTTCCAAGAAAAAAAAAACCAACCTCAATAGTGTGGGTTGACTTTGAAAAAGCCTTAAAACAAGATCTGGGAGCTAGGTTTAATTATAAAGCTAATAAACCATCAAGTATCTCATAACATGCTAAACTGGATCAAAGGTTACGTAAACAACCGAAAAGCATCAGTCTCCATGCAAGGAAAAAGAAGTCTTACTGTAACTTTAAAAAAATGGAGTCCCTCAAGGGGGAGTCTTGTCTCCTACTCTCTTTCTCATCTATATAAATGACTTAAATGAAAACATCCCAAGGAGAGTAAAAAGAAGCATGTTTGCAGACGACCTTTCACTAATCAGCAATATATTGGTACTTCAAAATTGTGTCTTCAGGAAACACTTGACAAGCTCGGCAAATGGACCAAAAACTGGGGCTTATCTATTAATACCAAGAAAACAACCTATTCAATCTTCACCCTATCAACTAAACATAAAAAAAATGAAACTAACCCTAGAAAACCAAGAGCTAGAAAAAAATGACCACCCCAAATACCTAGGAGTCACTTTTGACACTCGACTTACCTGGAGAAAACAAATATAAAACCCACAAATCTAATGAGGAAACTGGCAGGAACAGACTGGGGAACAAATCATCACATCCTGAAAAAAACCTACACCAGCTATGTGAGACCTACGTTAGAATATGGTGCTTCGGCTTGGGGCTCAGCAGCAAAAACAAATATTAGCAAAATTGACAAAGTTCAGAACAATGGTTTGAGAATAATGACAGGAGCCATGAATACAACGCCTATAAAAGCAATGGAGGAAGTAGCCGCTCTTAGTTCAATAGAAGAAAAAGAGAATAAAAAATCCTCACTCAATACACAAAGCTAGAGGCACTGGAACACCATAATCTAAAATACAAACTCCAGAAGCCCAGTCCATCAAACAGACTACAAAAATCAAAGAAGCAAAGAATCTAAAAAAGAAATATGAAATCGAAAACATCATTCCTGAAGCAATCAAAATTCAAAACATCTCCCCGCCTTGGATCTCCCACTGTCATTTAACCATTAGTGACTCAATAGACACCATAGAAAAAAAATCTGACTATGATCAAGAAGAACTAAGAAAATAACAAATAAGCACATTAAGGATCAGTACCCTAGCAATAGTTGGATTAGAGTATTCACAGATGGCTCAGATGAAGATGCCACAAAAAATGGCGGGGCTGGTGTCCTTATTGAATGGCCAAGCGGAGAAAGCCTGGAAAAGTCAATAGCCACAGGCAGCCTATCCGACAATTTTAGGGCAGAAAAAGAAGCTTTAGAGCATGCAGCAAACCTCATGTCAGAACACCCTGAATCACCAAATAGTCAGATAGTATTTCTTACAGATGCCAAATCTGTCCTGCAATCCCTAAAAAATCCAGAGTCCTATATTCAAACACTTATGACAGCACTAGAGAGGCTAAAAAATACCTGAAGCAGAATTGTGCTGCAGTGGATTACGGGCCACTGCCAGATCCAGGGTAATGATAGTGCGGACCAGCTGGCAAAAATTGGGGGAAAGAAACAACAACCGGAAATTTCGCTACACCCAAAAGAAATAAAAAGAATAATAAAAAACAAACAAACGCAAATGTGGTCTGACACACACCCTCACTAAAATAAAGATGATGGATATTATAATTTGACACGAAAACAACAATACATAATCTTTCGACTTAGAAAGGCCATAACAGACTAAATCAACACATGCATAAAAAACCAAATGTTTGGGTGTGGCGAAATGTGCCCTTGTGGCAAGGCCCTGGAAAATACGGAGCACGTCCTTCAGGATTGTTTTTGAATAGCCAGGCACGAGTCAGACACTGGCTCCTGCTCACCCCACTCAGGGAAAAATTATATGGGGCACCTGCTGATTTGGAGACCACAGTCCGGTTTGTTCACGAAGTTGGACTTGTCTAAATCCTCCACCATATTCTCAATTAAGAACGAAGAAGGAGAAGAAGCTCTCATTAAAATCACATTAGAATAACACAAATCTTTAACATAGTTTAATATACACAGTTTCAAAAAGGATGAACTAAAACAATTAGAAAAAATATTAAAAAATACATTTTAGCCAACTTTTTTAAACGTGAGACCTAAAAGGTTTTAACAAAAACTTTCAACTAAATATCTCAAGTAGTTTTTGAGATATAGTAACATTTTGAGAAATACGCTAAATAGTAAAAAAATATACTAAATTTGAAAAAAAAAGAAAAAAAACAAAAACTATGCCAAAAGAGTCGTTTTTAAAACCTCCCAGTTACATTAATTGCATCTGGAGCCTCTTGCTCAACAACCAGAACATCTATTTTAGTTAGTTTTTAATTTTTATGTTGCAAATTCAGTACGTTGAGTAGCGTGGGTTTATTATTAGAATTTAGAAAAAAGTAAAAAAATAATATTGGGAATTTCCAGTGTCTACTTTAGCTGTTATATAACTATACAAGGCGTTACCTTGCTTCACTGATAGTCGCCATCTTGTGAAAGGTAAGACCAAGCACAAACGTCGGATTTTCTTTTTAAAATATACGAGCCGGCCCGCGGCATAATATACGCCGCTATTTAGTTGTTTCTAATTTTCAATAATTCATAAATTTGTGAATTCGACAGTACCAACGCTGACACTGAAAATATTTCTTTAAAACACTATAAGTAGCTCGTTAAGGACCATAACCCCCCCCTCCCCTTCCTTCCCCCCCCCCTTCCTTCCCCCCCCCCCCCCCTTCCTTCCCCCCCCCCCTCCCCTCCCCCCCCCCTACGTTTAAAATCGTTGGCTCTGCTTGTAAACATTTAGAGTGAACACAGCTCACTAAAATCATGTAGGGGTGGGGAGGTAGGGAGAGCGTTTGCAGCTTGTTTTCTAACGGCTCGAAGAGGAGAATTATATATATATAGAAATTTTGACAAGTATCATGACTTTTACGCCTTTATTCATTGACGAATAACAAACAGTATCTTCCTATTAATGCTTTTCATTTTTTCTTGTTGATTGAATAAATTCTGAAATATTCTGTCTCTCTCTATCTGTTCGTTTGGGGCGCTGCATGGGTCCTTTAGATCAGATTTCTACTTTTCTCTGTATACACCGACATCGTTAGTGCCTCCCGTTCAATCACTGATGACACTTCCCATCTTTTCATTTGCCTGAAGCTTCTATTTAAATGAGTTTTTTTTTTTTATTAACAAATTTAAGCAGCAGATTTTTTTTAAAAATATCGTCAATGTACAGCAAAAAAATTTATTTAAAAATAGCATATGTAAAAGTTGCTAAATTTACAGTAATGCTTTTAAAATTAATAGTTATAGCCCATTTGATGTAAAAGTACATAATTCGATTTTTTAAAAAATTCTTGAATGTGGTCGCTACTACTTGGGTGGAATTTGGTATGTGTGTAGTGTGCCACAACACTATCTACATACCTGACACGCTTCTATGATAGCATAGAGGTACAAGATTCGCTTGACTAGATATCAAGTACACGCATTAGACAACTGTCGTGAATTTACAACGGTGTGTGATAAAACGACTGAAACCTTGAGTATGTTTAAATTTACGAGTAAATTATACCAATACATCATTCAACGAAGAAATCTTAAGACGAAACCTAATTAAAATTATCTTCTACATTGACGACAAACAGTAGCGTCAGAAGTTGGGGTGGTGTTGGTGGGTGAAGGTATTTGAAGGTATGTGAAGGTAGTGGACCGGGGTATATCATCCAGGGTGAGGGGGGGGGTGAAATCGAAACGAACAAATTACTGCAAACACATAATTATGCTTCTTAATTTAATAAATTATCAATGCTGAATACATCCTAGACACAGGTTGAAGCGTTATGAGACACAACGATTCGTATAGATTTAGTACATATCAAATGGAGTCGTGGGGTGGGGGGGGGGGGGTTAGAGCGGTGTCAACCTGGAACCAAACCTTAAAAACATATTTGCTCCATTTTTTTTTCAAACGCCACAGTCAAATCCTAAGCAATGTATCCTCCGCTCAAAGCATGTTTTCTCGAATTCTAAAACACTAACTCTGCCAGTCTAATTGCATTTCTTTTACTCACTATTTACAAACAGCACTGTGACTAGCGTCTCACTCACAGCATCCTTAAACCACGTGTAACAACGCGTATTTGTAGATGAGACAATACGGTGTTATTGTGAGTTCTTCAATGAATACGAATAACAGTTCTTTCAACTTACAATTTTATTCACTTTAATAAATAAATCCATAGGAATTAATAATAAAAATCCATAGTGGAACAACAGCAGTCAAAATACAATTCAGAAACAGAGTGACGTGGTGACAGCTTACAACATTCTTCTATAGAGGCACCATAATGGCACTTCTAGTCCACCTTACGCTCCCCTTTTATATCCTTCATTCTCTCCCCTAACGTCAGTGAGCGATCTCACAAAACGCATGGAAAAATACATGACAAGTCGCTCACACAGTCCTTCCGTTGGCCAGGTACTCTACTTTCATACTACGTCATGCTAAATACAAAATAGTAAATCATCCCCAAAAAGTCTGTTTCACCACGTTTTAGCGAGAATTTAGTTATAGTATACATCGTCATTGTTGATTTTTTTTTACCGCTCCCTCTCGCCACCTTGCTACCTTTGTAATTTTTAGCGCAATTTCCATACGGACAATTGCGATTATTAACTCGTCATTTCTGGATGGATGTGTGTCCCCAGCTTTAAGTCGTATCTCCTCCTCAACGAAGCAATATCGAGGACTAGTTCCAAAGCAAATATGTTAAGCAAATTCCGAGGATGATTGTGGGTCAAAAAATTCCCGGAATTCCTTCCTGGATTTCCCGGAAAAGCCAAAAAACCTCGAAAAAATGCAGTTTTTTGCCCATATCTTGGCAACCAGACCACTTAGCGACCGACTTGAAACATGTACCAATCGATTTCTGTCATAAATTAGAACAATATTGCCGAAGAAAGTTTTCAAAAATATCCTTTCGTTCGGGAGTTACAATTACAAGGTTTTGTTTCGCTAGGTCTAATAATTTTTTTCACATTTTTTACAAACAAACTTGATCACTATCTATTTTTAGATAACATAAGGAAATTGCGCTTAAATTGTCACTAGACTTTTTATTAACTTGTTTTTATTTTATGCCGTTTTTCAGAACAAAAATGATATAAAAATGCTAGTTCTCACTTCATTTTGGATCCTGTTATTTGCTCCTGTGTTTCTATCAGCGGGTAACTATCCCGTTCTTTTTTTAAATTGAAATTGAAATTCATTAATTTAGAATAATCATCCGATATTACTGTACATGTAAAGGCCCATTTAATAACTCGATAAATTAATCTTTATATATAATTTTAATTATCAGGAAAATAAAATTATTACTCAGACAATGATAAGAAAGTAAGTTTGTGTATTTACAAATGCTACGGCCTTTAGAGTACATAAATTAACAAAATATAGTTATGTTGTTAGTGTTATATTATAAAAGCTATAACGTATTTCATTTAATAAAATCAAGGGAGCGTACAATTACATTGTAATGAATCGAGGCCTATCCCTTGCCCAAAGTATGGCACCTGTTGCAGTGGGATGCAGTTTTGTGCTGAGGAGCTCGGGACGTGTGAGGAATGTTTTCCGCTGGACATCACGACAAGAGAAGAGCGTCTCAAGTTGTGTAGTGAGATGGCAAAGAGTACAAACACACGTTCAATGCGACATTACTCTTGTAGCCCGGCTTGCTATCACTCGTTTTCTCATGGTGAAATAAGTAACTACACAGGTAAGAGATGTGCTGAGATTATTTTCGTTGTTGCAAAAGTTGATAGGACGACTAACAAGCAGATGAAGTCTACTTCACCTGCATTATGGTCTTAAGTGCAATATAAACATAAAGTGATATTTTCAACGCCAAGGGTAGACAAAGGTACAGAAGTGGTACTTTACTACTTCTTTACCTTAATAAAAATTAACAATCTGGGTGCGTGTTTCGTATGAACGGTTTAATGTCTGTAATTGTATTTTATAATACGTAAGTGATTCCAACTATGAATTTATTTTATATAAGTGAAATGGGATATAGCAAACGTAAATAATATTAAAATTTGTTCAATTATAGGAATGGTTAAGGATTGTGCTCAAAGAAGCTATATTTATTTTTCGGTCTCATTTTTATCTTTCTAGCAGCTTTTCTACTTAGGTAAATATGATGATTCATTTTTTAATAAAGCAAAAGTCATATTTCCGCAAAATCTAACGAGTTAATTATTCTTTAAATTTTAAGCTAAAACAACCTTATAAGATAAAAATAACTTTTGTTAACAGCTGTAAAACTCATTAAAACTAAATTGAAAGCAAAAGAAAAAGAATGATATTTGGAATATTTTTTTGTATATTTATACTGCTTTTTAAAAGCAACATAATTATCAATTATTTGCATTGTTTATTGTAGTTTTTAAACTACTTGTTCGGGTGTGTGTATCTATACAAGCACATGTAAGTTGTACTACATCCATTAAATCTCAATATCACACTTTACCCTATTTACTGCATGAAAAAAACGCATTTCACATTTCTATAAAGTACTACTATTTATGTGCGAATAAAACATTAATCAGACTTTTAGAAAAACATTATCCTTAACGATGGTTTTGAAATATTTTTCATTTTAAGAATATTTTTGCTTAGTTACTGTTTTTTAATACATTATTTTCTTTTCATTAATTGTTAACATCAACGTTATAATGTTAATAGATTTTTCTTTGAATAGAACAAGCGCCAGCGAAAACAACTAAAGAACTCATAGATGGATTGATAGCCGGTAAGTTTGAAGAAATATGTTAACAAACATAACAAATCTACTGAGCAAACCGGATATATTTTAGATACAAATCTTTGGCCTGTTTCAAAATAAATAAATACAACATAGCATATTTTTCAACAACCTCTGTGGTTGGTTGAGAAAGAAATTAGGTCAAATTATTTACTTGGTCATTCGGCTATTTTAATAACAAACTTTAATATATTTATGCACTTGATAGAACAAAATAAATATTTTTCTTTAAATATAGTAATGCACTATTATTTAAATAAGTAGAAAGACAGGCCTGGGTCTTTCGTTAATATTTAGTATTTAGTAAAGGTATTCTATACATAGATAGCCACCCACGCTTTACTTTATAGTTATTTGAATAGTTCATGATTATTTAAAGAAAATCATTTATTTTCTTATGTTTAGTGCATACTTACATAATTGTTTGTTATTAAAACGTTTCATGAATTTTGATTTTCAGTACTTAAAAGTTTTTTTTTTAATAGCATTGAATTGCAAGACTAAAAACAAATGCGCATAACAGAGTGGTAAAAAGTACTTAATATGGGGGGGGGGGGGGAGGAAAACAATAATGATTTTCTTTTAATATATAATAATGAACTATTTAAATAACTAGAGAAAATTTCGTCAGTTTCTATTCATGACGACGAAGCACGACAGAAAAGAGTCGATAGCAAGTTAAATAAATGCTTATAAATAAAAACTTGTAAAAATTGTATTAATTATAACCCTCTTACACCAACATGATACACAATTTATTATGGCGTTAAATAAAAGACTACAAGTCATCTGCCATTCGTTACGAAAAGTTATTTGGTAATTCTTTTAGACGGCTAAATTTAGGTTTTAGACTTGTGAAAATATATATTTTGTAATTTTACAGAATATAAAAGCTCTAGACACAAACAATTAAGGAAAATTAGAATGGACATAAAAAGTAAGTAAAGATTAAATTATTTAGATCAAATTTTTGATTAAATCTTAAACCTAGTTTGTTATCGAACTGTATTAAATCAAAATTATCAAACATTCCCATGAAGACATACAGACGACAAGCATATATTTACTTCATACGTCACAAACTAATAAATATTTCTAGGAAACTACCATAAACGTATTTTTAATTCTGTAGGCCTACTTGGAGTACTTGTTACTATCTTTGCCTGTAAGCTTATGTGATTTTGATTGTATCTTTTGATTTAGTTCATCAAACGATTAAAAAATTTTCATAAACAAGTTTGTGTACTTTCAGATAAGACAGAACGTTTAAGTTATCTTGAAGATCAAGTACAAAATTTGAAAATTAACGGTAAGTATAAGTTTACACAATGTACGGCAGGTCCGCAAATTATTTAAATTAAGTTTCACTAATTTACACATTTTAGCTGAACCAACTCAATATAAGATTTCAAATAGCAGTAAAAATTCTTTTTTTTTTTCAAAAAAATGTATTAGGTCTCTATTACGTTCTCTGACTTTGCAATTTCTCTCTTTCTCTTATTTATCTCAATTAATGTACATTTGAGTGAGTTAGGTAAGTACACGTTACTGGTTTTTTATTCGTTTTCCTAATCCTGACAAAAAATTTATTGTTCAAATAAATATTCATATTCAAATATTAATGTAAAAGTAAATTTCTTGTTTAGATACAAATGCGAATACATCTAATTTTATTGTAGCTATTTTTTTAGTTTAACATTTTACAGTAACTTAATATTTATTATGTCTTCTAAAAATGTTGTATTGATTGTAGGCTTACAATACTACTACTAAGCAAATCAGAAAAATGTAGTTTTATAGACCAGTATTATATTTGTGATAAATGTTGTATTTCATATGGTTCCACAGGTCAGAAGCAGGACGATAAGATGGTGACATTATTGATAATAGGTACTTGAAATGTGAAATCTAGTATTTCTTTGTTCAAATAATTTTTAAGTCATTGTTTTGTCATCAGCAACAATAAACAGAAGTTCTCTTAACTTGCAGTATTATTGCTACAAAATCAAAAACTATGAAAATGTTGCTCTAATCTAAAACGTTTTAATATTTTTTATGGTACAATAATTGTTCCAGTGTGATTTGACTCTAGTTGGTGTGAATAAATAACAACATATCATTTCGGAATATAGCTTCCCTAGAACCAGATAGTCCTAATTTTATGTTGTTTTTTTTTTAGATTTATCTCTTACTGTTCGCAACACTTTAATGTCACCAATGGCTTAATATAGAAATGTCAAGGAACACAAAACTTTAATGTCTAGTTGTGAACATTTTTAAAAATTGGAGTCAGAACAGTTTGGTTCTAGGGAAGCGATATGTTGACTGTTTAGAATCATGCTCAATAAACAACATTATCTCATCGAAAAATACTTATTGATAGCTTACACACAAAGTTTAAGTTTATTGGAAATTTTTATATAAACAAAAAAAATTTACTAATTCGGTTTTTAGAAAAGTACATAATTCGCTTATAAAAAGTAGACTATAAATTTCTTGAGATTATATTATATATTTGTAATTTATATAAATACAATGTATTGAACTTTTTTATCTCAACTAAATTAATATAGTACATATTCAAAATATGTCATTTTTTTCATACAGGAACCACTTCCCTCGTACTAGCTACAACCATAGCAATCGTTTGTATAATTCTGAGAGTGATGTGGTGGTTGAAACAACGAAAACGAAAATATAAATGTAAAAAAATAGAACCCGGTATGTTATTATTTCTTATTAAAAAAATATTTTTTTAAAAATAATGAAGCATAAAATAAACAACTTTATTCACACATCTGAATAAAGTGATGAATGCAACAAGCATTTCTTATTTGAATAAGCTTTGCAAATCTACGTTTTATACTAAGACTAGCTGTCGGTACCCGTTACACGTGAATTGTAGGCCTATATATTTTAATGTTATACTTGTTTGAGAAAAATATATCATAACATAGTTATTAGTGCTTTACTTCACGTTGAATGATATCAGTGACAAAGTAAAGAAATAACTGAATAGCTAAAAATCTGACACATTTAAAATAACAATAGGCAACCAATACCAATTCGAAAACCAAATTATATACATACTAGGCATGCTGCCCAGCTTCGCTTAGGCTTTCGAAAACATTGAGAATTTGAATGCTTAATTAATTCGCCCGAGTGTCGGTCTACGACCTCGAGAGTTATGAAGAGGTTCCTCCGTGGACATTTTTTTTCGATTTATAGCTCATATAAGGCACCGGTCAGTCGAGGTCAGTTTTGACCCCCTCATCGTAGACTTTTCGGCCAACCGGCCCCCGTGTTCTGTCGCCCCAAGGCAAGATCTGCCAAATTTGAAGTGCCTGCGGCGCCGGGAAGTGCCCTATCGGACACCCGACAATCTAGATCTAGATCTAGAATCATAATAGATTTGTTTTTTTAAGTTTAGCCCGAGCATAATAAAAAAAAATACATAAACCAAGTTGACTTGGTGTGTCTCGAACCCGCACCTCCTACGTGGTTTATAGTACACTAACATCTCCGCTTTTTAAGCACCTTATAAAATACGGAAAAATGAAACACGTATTTTAAAATCTTAACTCACGCTAATATGCCTATTCTTTCAAATTAATTTTTTTATCCCAAATTAGCTAGTTCCAAACAAAGATTTTGTATAAATAAATAAGTCTTGAAACAGTTTAGTCCTAATATAGCAATTTATTTTTGGAATAGATTTTAGAGAAGTTAGAGTCTAAATCTAGATTTACGCCTAGTTATTGCGTAGATTTAGATTTAGTCTAGATCTAGAATCCAAATAAATAAAATAAATTTTATGAGTTTAGGCCGGAAAAATTGTATTGTATATACATTTCATAGTGTACGTAGATCTAAATCAAATTTGAATGAAATAGTTCATTTCTTTTTATTGTAAACACGGCAGATGACGTGATTAGTAAATGTATAAACATTAGTGACGTCACAGTTTTATGCGTTCTTTTACACATCTATTAATGCTTTTCCGGTTGCATAAATAAAATTGTTTTTCTACATTCGAATACGCCTTTAATTTTTATTTTTCTTCTTTAAATAAAATCGTGGTTATACATTTAAAACATCTAACATATTATTTTCAACAAAAGTCCGTATAAAGTTCTCCATATATCGCTGCCGTTTCTGACGTGATGTCCGGCGAAAATATTTTGCGGACAGACAGAGAGAGAGAGAGAGAGAGAGAGAGAGAGAGAGAGAGAGAAGAGCGCACATGGCGTTTTATATATTAGGATACATTCTACATATTAATTATCAGATGAGTAGCACATTAAAAGCAGTTCATTCTAAGTATCAATTTTTTTAAACATTAATAACACAAATTGAAGCTGAGTATTTTTCTATTCACAGATTTCGAAGAGTCCAAACAATTATTTCAAAAGAAAAACATTTTGGAAAATGAAAGATTTAAACGTCTACTCTCTGATCCAGATAACATAAAATGTATACAAGATCAAATAAATAAATATTTGGCGACAGTTAAAGATTTACCGTTACATCTCAAGGCATTTAAAGACAATAAATATCAATCAAATGACAATAAATCAGGCTGCAATATTGAGGACGAACGGGTTGTTTTTCGTGGAAATAGAGAAAGAAAGAAAATGAAAAAGAATATGTCTAGGAAAAATAAAAAAAATTTAAAGAAAGGAGAAGGTAAAACTGATTTTTTTTTTTGTTTTAATTAATTTAGATATGACAGTAACCCTGAGTAATTAACAGTGTATAAAAAAGAAAAAGTAAACAATCCTCTTTAGACCTAGCTATCCATTGGGCTGATAAATGTTTCTTGACCTCCGCATAAGAAGGAATAATGTAGTCAGCACTTTGCCCACCCGCCTTCACTGTCACTAACATGAGTTAGGTACCCATCAAAGCTGGGTGGACTCAGGGACGTTCTACTAACTAGAACATGGATTGAACTTGAGAATTTCTGGTTAGCAGTCTGGCCCATTACCGCGTAAGCGACGCCGTCCCACAAAGTGATTAAATAGTTACCAAAATATATCTATATATATTCACATCAGTTTTCACAAAACTATAAAAGAATATATACATATTATATACACACATATACCCACACACCCACAAAACTCACACACACACACACACACACACACATATATATATATATATATATATATATATATATATATATATATATATATATATATATATATATATATATATATATACATATATATATACTAGCCGTCCCGGCCAGGCCCTGCTCTGGCTTCTGTGAAACCTAACAACAAACCCAACCACAACCACAAACACCAATACGAACACAAAGAAATAAACAAACGAAAAAGATAACAACGAAAACAAACCAAATTCAAACGCAAAATCAACCACAAACACAAACCCAAAGAAAAAAACACAAACGAAAAAGCAAACGAAAACAAACCAAATCCAAACGCAAAACCAACCACAAACACAAATACAAACACAAACCCAAAAAAAAAACACAAAAGAAAACGAAAAAAAGAAAGAACAAAAACGAACCAAATCAAAACGCAACCACTAACGCAAACCCAACCTAAACACAAAGAAAACACTAACGCGAACATAAACGCAAAGTGCTCACAGTCTAGCCCGGGGCAGAATCGCATGTTTCAGCTTAATAATCGACTACAGTACCCCAAATAATTCATAGTCTTTTGCACTTAATTAAACGAACGTAGGTGCCAAACCAAACCAAATGAACAATTATAATACTCCAAGCTTATTCGTAAAATACCTACAACATTTGCACTTGATCAATCCCCGCTAATTATGTAATTATTTTTTACCCAATACCAAAACAAAGTAATAAGAAGTAAATTCTTTTCCACTAATGCAATGTTTTATAAAGGGAAGTAATTGTGTTTTCCTAATTTATCAAAGGGAAGTAAGTGCTAAAGGACTAAATGTAAATAACTTTCAGACATAATTAGAATTTTTTTTTTTTTTAAATTATGTTTAATGAACATGCCGACAATTATTACTATCAGTTTGAAAAATGAAAATTATTTCCCAACACTTTCAATAGTAATTTTTTAACTTATAAATTTAGACTAAGAGCACGATAATAGTCTAACACTTAAATCGATCGAAGTATGTCAACGACAAACAAACTTATTACATGTTACATACAGAATTGAGCTTTATATATATATATATATATATATATATATATATATATATATATATATATATATATATATATATATATGTATATGTATACTAGCTGGATGATATCAAATAGTTGTAGGCGGAGCGGCTGTTTCCCCTCAGACTGCTACCCCTGATCCTCCCCTGTGTACACTACTAACTACGCGTCAATAGAATTGGCTTCTATGTTTAAGTGCTAAGCGATTTATTTTTTTACATTGGTAAAATAGCGCCCCGATCCACCACCTTTTTTTCTAATTTTTCTCTAACACAATACGCTTTAGTGCAATTTTTTTCTTTCTAAGTGTTAAAAGAGTTATCTACTCACCAATCCAGTACAAATCCTTGCGATTTTAATCAGCGAAAAGCGTCCCCACCCCCCTCTATCAAGGTAAAGCTGGAAAGCAGTTTTGCCTGTCACTGTTTGTAAAGGGTATATGTTTTACATTTACAATATCAAGGTAGAAAACAGTTAAATCAGTATGGGAAGGCATGTAGCCGTTACATTACTTAACTTCGGCAGTTTATAATTCAAAACTGCAGCTGAAAATGAGCTTTTAATTTTTTTTTCTACCACTTACGGTCGGCGCCCGGGGCTGCCGCCCTCCCCCCCCCCCCCCCCTAGCTACGCCTCTGGAACCCATATAGTCTTTGATAGCTAGACAGCCACAAATGACAGTAAAAAGTTCGGCCTAAAGCATCTTCGATAAAAAAATTATTATGACTGCCTGCAATCTGTGACTTTTAATGAAAAATAATGAGTAAAAAACCTTTAAAATCGAGAGGTACACAGTGTCCATGCATGATCACTCTTTCAATAAAGAACAATTTTAGATAGTCTTAGCACATTCACACGGTAAGTTTACACGCAGTAGACTGAAGGACATCTTGGAAAAGTTTAACTCCAAATTATTATTTTGACCTAGTAATAGTAATGTATGTTACCGTAAATATCATATCCCTATAATACATTACTAGCAATATACACGTGCTCCGCCACGGTGAACCTTTTTTAAATGTACCAACTTAAGAACAGAACAAAAGAAAACACAAACACAACAGAAACACAACATAACCATAACACAAACACAATACAAACACAACACAAACACAATACAAACACAATACAAACACAACACAAACACAACACAAACACAACACAAACACAACACAAACACAACACAAACACTACACAAACACTACACAAACACTACACAACACAAACACAACACAACACAAACACTACACAAACACAACACAAACACTACACAAACACAACAGAAACACAAACACAACAAAAATTGTAAATGAGTCTGTATGTTATTTCCGTGGCTTTATGTGTGATGGTTTTGAGGTGAAGGTTCCTGAAGGTGTCTGTTGTGTCTGGAGTGTATTTCCTACACCATTGAATTCTGTTGTATAGTGGTGTTGAGAGTTTTTGCATTAACTTTTTGTAAATGTTTTGTTATTTTTCGTGTATAATTTGTCCGTTCTTTTTTTACTTTCTCGTATATACGAAGTATAGAAAAAGTCTTGTAATTGTGCAAAAAAAATCGAGATCTTTACAAATCTCGACGTTTTACACCTCAATGATACGGAAAAACATTATTTTGCAATCTTTTCCGTATGTCGGCGTGTCTGTGTGTCTGTCTGTCTGTGTGTAAACACGATAACTTGAGTACCGTTACAGCTAGGTTGATGAAATTTCATATATAAGTATTTTATTAAAATCGTAGATCCGTATCAACTTTTGAGCGATTTCCGATAACCGTAAGTGGTACTTTTTCTACTTTGAATGTTTCCAAAATCCTATAACTTGAGTACTATTTCAGATAGATAAATGAAATTTCACATGTAAGTAAAAGATCTAATTCTCTACCTTCTGTCAAATTTTGAGTAATTTCCGTTGACCGGAAGTATTAATTTACGCTATTTCCGATTTCTTAAAAAACGCATGTAAAATTGTAAAGTACTAATAATATTGTGCACTATTATGTACATTTTGTTTTGGCGTTCGCTTGGTGCGCAATTCTTTTTTCTATGAGATTCTATTCTATTTTTAAAAGTTTAAGTAATTAAAAATCATGTCTATATTCCAAGTTATATAAGAATATTCGAGAAAGTTTAGGGGAGATCACTCCCGGTTTATTTAAATTTATTATTGGTGTATTTTGAATCCCTACGATAAAAATGGGAAGTCTGTGCAGAATTATGTGATTTTGGAACACGATCATACGAGACTATATTTGCAAGTCTTAATGACTTTGACTTTTTATACAATTTAGTTTGATCAGTTATTACACGTTAGAACAGACTCTCACGTTTTTGCATCATGCTTTTTGGCTATCCCAACCGAACATCATTGCTTTATTCACTTCATGAATAATGTAATAATTTTCAAGCAACATAAGCGGATTATAAATTTTCTGTTGATGTGTTAATAGTTTGTGAAAAAATATTTGTTATGCATAAAATACAAGTGTGTGCTTGTTTTTTGCTAATAATTCATATATTAGACCTTTTTTTATAAAAAATATATATTTCATAAAACGTTTAAACACAAAATTGATAGAAAACTAAAAGGAAAGCCATTTCTTCATTTAAATCGTAAAAGCTAAATAATGTCAAAGAATTACATACGTTTTGAAGTTGAGTAATGAGGGATTAAAGTTACCAGAAAAAAAAGTATATAAAAATGTACGTTAAGTATATATTTTTATCTAAGTTATATTTTCTGATTACCTTTAGCCATACCAGGTAATCACAAATAATGTAAACAGATTATAAGAAGAATGCTTACACTTCCTGATACAAACAATTGGGCGGTCAATTTGAATTTTCCGTTTACAAACTGCGAATAGTAATATTGAGAAAAGTTTCCAATGACTCTAAAAGAGGGCTCATCATGCATCGAATATCCATGCGCACAAAATGCAGACTGTGTCAAATCAGAGATCTCAAATACAGCTGCATCTATAAAAGGTAGAATACAGATAAAGTATATATATATTTATACCTGGTAAAAAAAGCATATTTATTGTAGAGAGGGAAGGATTAAACAAAAGCATAAAACAAAAACTTAAACGTGTACGTTTACGTTTACGTGTACGTGTGTTGGTGTGTACGTGTGTGTGTACGTGAACGTGTACGTATATGTTTATGCATGTGTGTGTTGTGTATTTGTATGTGCATTTTTATGTGTATATGTTTTGTATATGTTTTGCATATATTTTGTATATGTTTTGTATATGTTTTGTATACGAATTGTATATGTTTTGTATATGTTTTGTATATGTTTTGTATATTTTTATATATGCTTTGTATATGTTTTGTATATTTTTTGCATATGTTTTTTATATGTTTTTATGTTTTGTATATGTTTTTATATGTTTTGTAGGCCTATATGTTTTGTATATATACATACATATAAATATAAATATAAATATAAATATAAATATAAATATAAATATAAATATATATATATATATATATATATATATATATATATATATATATATATATATATATATATATATATATATATATATATATATATATATATATATATGTATTTGTAAGCCCTGCTAGGGGGGGATACCTAAAATCTACCCTTCTAGGCTTATCTAACTAACTAATCTGTCCGGTCAG